GTAAGTGCACCTGTGTCATGCAATGCCCATGGAGGTCAAAAGAGGGCGTTGGATTCCCCTGTAACTGGAGTTACTGACAGTTGTTAGCCATCATATGGGTGCTGGGAACCAAACCCAGATCCTCTGCAAGAGTACCCAGTGCTCTTAACTGATGCTCCAGCCCTCTTTTAAATTCTTAAAACAAATGACCCAATTAAAAAGTGAGTTAAAACCAGCATGGTATCACTCACTTGTAATCCCAACACTTAGGAGATTGAGGTGAAGGACCAAAATTTCAAGCAAGACCCTCTCTAAACAATACACAGACAGACAGACAGGTACACACACACACACACACACACACACACACACACAAGTTGGGTAAAATATTTCAAACAAGGACTTGACCAAGGAAAACACATCAGGGAAATATGTGAGATTCCACTACACATCCACACAAATGGCCACAGTTGAAAGACCAATAGACCAAGTGCCACAGCAGCTAGAGCCACAAAAATCCTTTCCCTGTCCATTAAGAGTTTAAAAGGACATAGCACTTTGGAAGTATTCTGACAGTTTCTTCTAAAGACTTAACTAAATATGCTAAAATGTTTAAGTTGCACATACTTATGTGATCCAGCAAGTCTACCCCTAAGTATTTACTTACATCAGCCCCAAAGATACACATTCAAATGCCCCAGCATCTTTATTCAAAATAGGTAAGGACTGGAAATAACCCAGAGGTCCATCAACAGGTGGCTGACAAGTCATGGCACATTCATATAAGGGAATTTTACTAGGCATAGGCAGAACCAAACTACTGACAGAGAGATGCATCTGGTTCAGTGAAAGAAGCCGGGCACACCAAGAGCACATGGCACACAACTGCAATCTGATCAAAACCCAGATGAAGCAAAACTAATCCCACTGAGAAAGCAGATGTGCAGTACGCCTGGGCCTGTGGGGAGAAGGGTGATTACCTGTGGAGGAATACAAGGCAGCATTCAAGAACAGCGGCTGCCAAGAGAATACCATGAGCTCTTGAAATCAAGGAGCCAGGCTTCAGTGAAGCAATTTTTAAACCACTGGACTTAAATAAGAACTCAGAGGGCCAAGAAGATAGCTTGGCAGGTAAAGCATTTGCTGTGCAGGCACGAAGACCTAAATTCAGATCCCCAACACCCACATAAAAAGTCAGCCATGGCAATGCAGTGCCTGTAATCTCAGCACTGGAAAGGTAGAGGCGGAGCATCCCTGAGGCCTGCTGGCCAGTCAGTCTACCCAATTAGGGAGCTCCAGGTTCCGTGAGAGACTCTGTCACAAAAAATAAGGCAGAAAAAGATGGAAGATTTTAACCTCTGGCCTTCATGTGCACTTATGTGTGGATACACACATACATATATACACATATAAACACATACATGTATATACAACACACACAAAATTAAAAGGGCTCTAGGAAGATGGGGCATGGTACAACTTCAGACTGACACCTGGGAAATAAGAACCTAAAGGATCCCAGAGATAAGTCAGAAAGGTGGAATCTCAGGTGTTGCAAAGTGTGTAAGAGACTATAGAACAGGTCAGGAGGTAAAAATAAGTCCAGGTCAGGTGTGGTGATATACACCACCTTTAATCCCAGTACTCAGGAAAAAATGGCAGGCAGACCTGTGAGTACAAAGCCAGATGGTCTTCACTGCGTTCCAGGTCAGCCAGGGCTACGTAATGAAACCCTGTCTCAAACATAAAGACAAAACAAGACAAAACAAAAAACCCCAGAATGATAGGTATGCATGCAGACTAGGCTGTTACCACCTAGAATAGTGCAAGACAGGATCCCAGAGTGACCCACAAAGAGAATCATTGTACTGGACAGGCCTCAATGCTGAAGCTTGTGAGTCATCTGCAAAGACACACAGAGGACCTCCCAGAACACAGCAAATGTAAAAGCCTCAAGGGAGCTACGTCGTGCTGGACACTGAGGATTCACATTGGACGCAGAGTGGGAAGAACATTTAGCCAGGACCACAAGCGTATGTGAAGACTCTGGCAGGGAGAAAGCCTACAATTCAGTCACTACAGAGAAGTCACACTAAAGAAAAGCAGATGAGCAAGGACTGTAAGCTGCCATGAAAATGCTCAGGAGATAGCAAGCCATGAGAAACAAACATTAGGTGAGGAAAAAAAATGTATTTATGAAAACTGAAGCAAGAAAAAAAGTGTCAACCCAGAAAGGCAACAGAGCTGTGCAAAGGGTACCATGGCATAAAACTCCAAGTCTGACAGCAGAGTACCAAAGTTTTTCCTGACTCAGGACCAGGGATGGAGGACTACATGAGCAATGAGCATCCTCTGTCACAATCCTAAATCATCACATATGTCTACCAGGGACTAAACAGAAGACACAAAATATAGTATCTACTTGAAATATGAATATAGCCAAGCAGAATGGCCTATGTCTGGACTCCTAGCACTTGGAGACAGAGAAAGAAAAATCAGGAGTTCAAGGCATCCTCAGCTATATAGTAAGGGCAAGACCAACCTGGACTACATAAGATCCTACCTCTAAAAAAATGAAACAATGGGGAAGGGCGTGGTGGCACACGCCTTTAATCCTGGCACTCAGGAGGCAGAGGCAAGTGGTTCTATGTGAGTTCAAGGCCAGCCTGGTCTACATAGCAAGTTCCAGGCCAGCTGGGGCTACAAGGGAGACCCTGTCTCAAAAAGACAGACAAACAAATAAAAATTTGAAAATAAAATTAAAGGCGGGGGGGGGGGGTTAGTAAGGAAAGTACTTGGCAGGCAGGTGTGAAGAACCTAAACACAGATCCAAAAAGGCCAGAAAGCTCAGATATGGTAGCAGTCCTCCTACAGGGAGATGGGAGGCAGAGACAGGAGCATCCCCAGAGGGATCAAGGGTCAGCTGACCTGGCATACAGAATGGAGAACAAGAGACCCTGACTCAAACAAGGTGGAAGAACGTCGTCCTCTGACCTTCACATGCACGGCACATGCACACCTGCACTCCCATGTGAACACGCATGCCTGGACACATACATACTCAGATAAAAAAGAAAAAAGAAACACATAGGATATACAAAACGGATTCCTCCCCAAGAATAACGGGAGAAGATCACGAACAAGTACTTTACCACAACCAAATATACTATTTTTAAAATTCAACTTCAGAGGCTGGAGATGCTCAGCAGTTCAGAGCACTGCTGCTCTTGCAGAGGACTTGGGTTCAGTTCCCAGCACCTGCATGGCAGCTCATAACCACCTGTAACTCCAGTTCCAGGGGATCCGACACCCTCTTTTGGCCCCCATGGGCATCAAACAACATGGGTGCACTTACATACATGCAGGCAAAACACTCATACACATATAATAAGGCAAAAAAATTTTTAATTCCAACTTCACCCATGGAGAAAGGAAGCACTACTCTTCACCTTTCAAAGTGGCAGATACTATTTAATAATATCCAATCCATTGAAAAATATGAAAAAAAAGACATCCAGAGATTAACCATACAAGAAGGGTGATAAAATCTTCACAATTAAGACTTGGCCAAAAAGCAAAAGTCTTTAAAAAAAAAATGAACACTTCTTTTGGACACAGGATCTCACTGTGCCTCCCTAGTTGACCTGGAACTCACAAAGATCTCTCCTCCTTCCTCCCGCCTCCCAAATGCTGGTAATAAAGGTTATTGGGCAAAATAAGGAACATGTTTACTATAACCATTTCCCAGGCAGAACCAGGATCTGAGGGGCTCACAGTGGCCATCCAGGAAGGCACCAAGTAGAGCAGAGGAGAGGTGGCCTCCAGCCTGAGGGCTTGCTCTATCTTGCTGCCCAGCCTCACTTTATACAGGGCACTTAGACAAGCCCCAACTGTGTTTCTAAGTTTATGTGTCTATATTACACATGCAAACAGGTAAAAACTGTAAGGTTATCAAATGTCTGTCACACACATTGATGACAGGGATACAGGTCATTTATTTTGTCCATTTTGCCCATACTTTAATAACCGTGCCATTTCTTTTTTTTTTTGGTCTTTTTGAGACAGGGTCTTCCTGTAGCCCCAGCTGTCCTGGAACTCACTATGTAGACCAGGCTGGCCTTGAACTCACAGAGATCTGCCTGCCTCTGCCTCCCGAGTGCTGGGACTAAAGGCGTGTGCTACCATACCTAGCAAAGGAAGTTATTTTTTGGGGGGGAGGGTTGGGTTTTTGGGGTTTTTTTTTTTTTTTTGTCTTTTTGAGACAGGGTCTCCCTATAGCCCCAGCTGTCCTAGAACTCACTATGTAGACCAGGCTGGCCTTGAACTCACAGAGATCCACCTGCCTCTGCCTCCCGAGTGCTGGGATTAAAGGCATGCGCCACCATGCCCAGCTCCATTTCTTTTTTTAAAAAAATATTTTATTATTTTTATGTGCATGTATGTATTGCCTGCATGTATTTATTATTGTTATATGTATGTAAGTGCACCTGTGTCGTGCAATGCCCGCAGAGGACAGAAGAGGCTGTCAGATTCCCTGGAAGTCACGGACAGTTGTTAGCTGCCATGTGGGTGCTGGGGTTCAAACCCGGGTCTTCTGCAAGAACAGCCAGTGTTCTTAACCGCTGAGCCATCTCTCTAGCCCACCATGCCATTTCTTACATGAGGTAGAATGCCACACAAAGAGGTGTCCTTACAGGCAGCAGAGTGGGAGGGTACAGCACTGGCCAACACATACACACAAAATAAATAAGTCTTTAAAAAAGAAAAAAATTGTGAGTGTTCTTTTGCTGCACACAGGTACTAAGATGAAAACAGAAACTCATTAGTTGGTTCTGACTACATACCTCCACCCATTTCCAAACACAAAGCCCATTTGTCCCACTCTCAGTGCTCTGGAGGTAAGGCCTATCTGTTAAACTGCTATGGATGCCTAGCTGGACACAGTATTATGCAGTCCCAAATGACAGCCCCAGGGGCCACATCCCAGGAGGAACAGGAGGCAGGAGCTAGACAGCACTCACCTTGTTGATCCAGAACACCATGGCATCCTCAAGGTCGTACGGAAGTTCTTTTGAGGCGCTGAAGGTGGAGAAGCGCTTGACACTGGCAACCACCTTCTCAATGCTGATCATCTCCACAGTGTAGGCCATCATCAGGGCATCCACCATTGCCATGTGGGCACTCTTGGGGACAGAGGCAACAGTCAGCCCCTTAAAAATAAACCTCCTCCTCCTCCAGGTCCCAATGCAGGAAAACTCTGTTCCAGGCTTCCCCATGAAGACATACCCTGGCTGGGACCTTTCCAGCCCTGGCACTGCTCCAGTCTACAACGGTGGTCCAGGGTCCTCATCTCCCCAGTCAGCAGCCTCTATAACTAACACTTCCTCTAACCCTGGAAAGGCTGTGGGAAGAGGCTGCTCCCTCCCTTTGCCTCCTTTGACTGCCACCAGGGCCCTCCTATATATCAACCCTGTCTTCATGCAGTCTATTCAGAGTGTGAAGACCTTTTTCTTCACCCACAACACATCACCCTTAAACTGAGCAAAAAACCCACAGCATGCAAAATGCCAGGGAACGGGCTAACAAAAGAAACGTGGGGGCACCAGTGAGCTCAGGGCCAGCCTGGTGCAAAGAGGTGCAGTGGTGGCACTGCCTCGGAGAAGGACCAGGCAACTGATTCTGGCTAGTAAGTGCAGCCATCCAGTAGGATGGGCTAAACAAGCAGTATACCACATCACACTTGCACTTGCACACATCACTGCATCATCACAGTGAGAGAAAGGGCCACAAGCAAGCTGCTCTCTCCAGAACGACGACACACTTAAAAATATAGGCATGTCATTAAGGACTACCGGTGCACACAGGCAGACCTCACCATCTGCCACCTGCCGGTAGGGTGCTAAGCCTTGACTACTTAGCCAAGCTGGAGGGGATGGACGACATGCCTTTCAGACAGACACTCACCATCTTAATGGGTGCATGGCTGAGGTCAGCATCTGTCACAGGGGTATCATCACTCTCCATCACATAGATGCCCTTCCGGGACAGGGCCTGGATGACAGACTGGTGTCCTTGTAAGGTGGCCACCTGGTCCCCTTTCAGGATGAGGCTGCAGACACGGCAATACAGCTCACTGGAGAGAAGCAGCTTGATGACAGGTGGCTTAATGTGTTCCTGCTCATACTGGTCGATGTAGAAAGGGTCTCTGAGATCCTCAGGGATGTTGTCTAAGATAGGAGAGAGCACCAGCTAAGTGGATATGCGCATTTCAGTCTTGACCATCACCAACAGGATGAGAAGCACCTTTCAAGCACAAACCCACCAACCTGGTGACAACACACAAAGGTCCAAGACCAACTGAGAGCCTTATCACTGACAGAGGCAATAGGAATAATTTTACAACTGCTACCACCACCTAAAGTCACAATGTAAGACGCAAGCATTAAAGCCCTGGGATACCTGTGGGGCCAAAAGGAAACCAGGATGCCATATGGCCTGTGATGATGCAGTATCTGGTGACACTGTTAGGAGGGGGCTGCAGGTACAGTTGCATTAGTTGTGGGGAGGAAGCACTGCTTGTCCTCTTTCCAATGTCAGGATCAGAGGTAACAGGCTCAACAGCCTCATCCTTATGGAAGAGAGTCAGATCTGGTGGAACTATAACCATGACAGGAAAATGGAAACCAACATTTACTCATCTTTGTTTCAGGGGCGTTAACCCTTCTACCTGGACCGTACTACTTAATCATCACCACAATTCTACTCAGTCAGAACTCACATTACAGATAAGAACACTGAGGCACAGAAAAAGGATGCACATGCCCAACGTCACAGGAGGCTGGAACCAGCTGCACTCTGATCTCTGTGCATTCACTGTCTGCAGTACACACACCACTGTGGAGCCACATGTCTTACCACTGGTTCTACTGTGCCCTCTGAGGTACCCTCCTTGCACCTCAATATCAATAGCTGTCCACTGTGGAAAATTCAAAGTCCCAAAGAAGAATCTCACTCCTTTACCCAATACCCCAGACCTTTCAGTATCTTAGTATCCTCAACTGCATGGAGCAGACTAGTCCACTTGGACCATCCCCACCTCCAGAAGCGTTTAAAAAGCTACAATCATCAAGAAGGGCTGCTGAATAAAACCTGCTAACAGCTGGGCTGGAGAGATGGCTCAGTGGTTAAGAACACTGGTTGTTCTTACAGAAGACCTGGGTTCAAATCCCAGCACCCATATGGCAGCTAACTGTCCGTAACTCCAGTTCCAGGGGATCTGACAGCCTCTTGTCTTCTGTGAGCATTGTACAACACGGGTGTACTTACCTACATGCAGGCATAACACTCATACACATAAAGCAAAAATAATAAAATATTAAAAAAAAAAAAAAAAAAAACCTGCTGACTGGTAGAAACACACTAGAGGGTGCCACTTCACCCCACTACCATTGGACATCCAAGTTCCTCGCCCTGTGTCAAGCCCAGACACTGACACCACTGTGGGAAAGAGCCAACTCTTCAGAGGACCCTGGGGGGCGGGGGGGCAGCACCCTCCTTGTCCTTTTGTTTCTCATAGGTACTATTCTCTGAGAACCAAGTCTGTCTGATTACAAGTCTCTGGATCCTTGTCATTGCCCTACATTTTTTAAAAAAATTTCACCTATTATTGTACATATGTATGGGGGCAGGGGGGGAGACACATGCCACAGTGCACATGTGAGGTCAGTGGACAACTCTGTGGAGTTGGTTCTCTCATTCCACCTTTGTGTGGGTTCCAGGGCTTGAACTTGGGTTGTCAGGCTTAATGACAAACACCTTTAGCCACTCAGCCATCTCACTAACCCTGCCCCACAATCCCAACAGTTTATTTTTGATTCTTATTTCTAAACAGCATGGCCAGAGTTTACATAGCACTTTAGTTTTGAAGCACTGTTGTGCGCATAAAATCTGGTCACTACAGCAACCTGACTGGTGCACAGGCTCTGGAAGGCTGGATGTGCTCCACCCAGGCTTAGTGCATGTCACCTCCACACTTGATGACCACATCCAGTAGCCTCATATTTTGAAGCCATCTACAGTTTCAGTAGCAAAAGGACAGGCCCTGTGTGTTACACACGGGAAGGCCTCTGCTTGTCTGGTCAGATGGCTAAGGAAAGAGCTTCTGTAGTGCCTGTGAGCAGGACAAAAGGAGAGGAGAGGCACAGCTGGGAGGCCACAGAGCACACCTGTAGAGACCAGGAGATCTGGTTCGGAACCAAAGTCAGGGAAAGCTCTAAGCTGGGGAGCCCACAATCCAAGTGCATCCTGCTACAGGTGAAGGAGACCAGAGTCACCTTAACCTCACTTTTACTCAAAGGACCACCAGCAGCTGCCTAGCAGTCCAGGCTCCTGGCAAGAGGCACCCTTCACCTGGTTTCCAGGACATACCCCGAAACCTCAGGCTCTGTCCAGTTCTCTTTTTTTCGGTCTTTTTGAGACAGGGTCTCCCTGTAGCCCCAGCTGTCCTAGATTCACTATGGAGACCAGGCTGTCCTCAAACTCACAGAGATCCGCCTGCCTCTGTTGGGATTATTAAAGGCATGCGCTACCACGCGGCCAGTTCCTTCTTATGTCTAAAAACTGCAAGAGCACATTCTACTTCACCCCAGGGACCACACCCTGTTACTTCCTGTGACATCCAGACTCAAAAGATCAAGCATGTATGGTTACCCCATACATTCTAGCCTCAGTCACCCCCGGAATGACCTATGTGACATCTCCATGTGATACATAGAGCACCTAGAGCCACAATGACTGGCCACTTCTCACCTGGATGACTGGGCAGTCTCCTGTCTAAGAGAACACAAACAGCACAGACTAGGAGAGCCTCACAGGGTCTCTGATCTGCTCCAAGGGAGACCAGGAGATGATGGGACACAACACAGGCACAGAGAGCGCTGGCCTTCGACAGAGGCAAGGAAGCCCTCGGGTGGAGGACGGAGTACACATAGTACAAAAACACATGCAGCCAGACCTCAAGGCCAGGTAGGAATTTTCCCTGGGTCACTTGCAAACAGTCAGCTTGAAGCGGTACATGTTATCAGCACTTTGGATCCTATACAAACAAGAACCTGTGAGCAATTACAATATACATTCCAGAGTCATGACAAGGAGCCAGGGCAATGCTCTAGGCTAGACGACAGCCCCAGATCCAGCCAAGTCCAGCACAGCCTGCAAGCTCCCTCCACTCCAGTCAGAATCTGCCATGGCCCGCTCTGCAATGGGAGCCTCTTCTTCCTGGCCCTCTAGGGCAGCAACTGCCCACAGAGCCTCACTCCTCCCAGTCCACCAGGACAGTGACTGTTCCTAGACAGCCATCTCTAATGTGCTTCTAATATCTAGCAGTTGATAGCTGCTGTTAGAGCAGAGCATCCTAAATGCCTCCGACTCTATTTCAGGTGACTCACTTCTCACTTCTACAAACCACTAAGAAAATTTTTTACAATCATCTACTCAACAATTACTGAGCACCTACAAGCAATGCATGAACACACGGTAAGACAAAAAATTTCCAGCAGGCAACATCCACATGGCAGAGTATCACATAGGAGTGTGCGCAGGGGCCCAGCATTCGTGGAAGGGGAAAGCACGAACACAAGAATGATCTTTATCAGACAACATTAAGAAACAACAGTCAGAACTGCATAGGAAAAACAAGTGTGGTGTTTCACTAACTCATTCAGCAGGTCCAGACTAAGCACATGCTACACGCCTGCCTTTAGTGGGGCTGTCAGGGCAGCGGGCAGGCTTACAAACTCTGGGACAGAGAACAAGGGATAGACTAGACCAGGCTGGGTCAGGAGGTAAGGAAGGGTGAAGACCAAGGAGATACGATCTGCTTCTGCTCCCAGCATACAGAGGAGAGGAAAGGAGGACAAGCCTGGAAACCAGTCAACTTAGGACAAGACAGCACGGGACCAGAGCCCAAGAGATGACAATGGTGGGAAGAGGAGCTTTGCTGGACACGTGGCTAAAGGTGGCTGTGTGCCCACGAGAGGCAGGAAAGGGGCTCAGACATATGTGAGAAAGACAGTATTTGCATTTGATATACAAACATGAAAAACCAGTGTCCAGAAAGGGCAGAGTGAGAATGGAAGCTGGGCCAGAATGGAGGCCAGTGGGACAGCCAGTGCTGGGCAGGCAAGGAAGGCAAGCCAAAGCAACTGAGTGGTAGACAAGGGAGGTTGGTAACTGTAGAGCCACCCAGACACACCAGAGAGAGCCACCAAAACCAACACACCCAGCACCAGCAGGACAGGCACACTAAGGGAAAGAAGGTCTCACAGCTCTCAATGCAGTGTAGCCTTAGGCACAGGCTGGGCTTCTCCTTCTAGTCAGAGGCCAGGAAGGGAAGATTCCTGAGGGAAGGGATGTCAGGTTGGTATGCAATGTGTCCTGGTCACCTTAACAGACCTGTTTGTTAAAATCCATTGCAGTCAGCATGGCAATAACTAAGGGAGAGCTACGACACAGCAGCAAGCCATGGAGCCAGGCTGTGGTGCACATGGGGGAGACTGAGCAGCAAGAATCATGGTGAGTTCAAGGCCAGCTCAGGAAGGCTGGCAAATCCTAAACAGAACAAACTCAAAGAAAGCCAAGTTCAGGCACTTCACAAGCAAGCTGCAGGAAGCCAGAGGCAAAGACCTGAACTATCATACCAGCAAGACTAGATGACAGAGGGAGGGAGAAAAGGGGGGGGGGACGAGGAGGGGAAAAGAGAATAAAAAGAGTAAGAATTTTGGCAGAAATGTGAAAGCTATTTAAAAAAAAAAAAAAAGAGGGCCAGGCCTGGGGGCGCACACCTTTACTCCCAGCATTTGGGAGGCAGAGGCAGGTGGATCTCTGGGAGTTTAAGGTCAGTCTGTTCTACGTAGGGAGTTTCAGGCCAGCTGGGGCTACAAAGAGACCCTGTCTCAAAAAGACCAAAAAATAAACAAACAAACAAACAAACAAATAAATAAATAAATAAATAAAAGAATGGGCCAGGCCTGGTGGCGCACACCTTTACTCCCAGCATTTGGGAGGCAGAGGCAGGTGGATCTCTGGGAGTTTAAGGTCAGTCTGTTCTACGTAGGGAGTTTCAGGCCAGCTGGGGCTACAAAGAGACCCTGTCTCAAAAAGACCAAAAAATAAACAAACAAACAAACAAACAAATAAATAAATAAATAAATAAAAGAATGACAGATTA